ATTACAAATATACAAGATAAATATGTAAATAAAATGTATAATATATATAATGGAATAGTCTTGGAATGTGCTTCTGTGCTTTATCAGCGTACAGTGGAGTGGGTGGGAGGTGTCATTGTCTGTATTTCAGACAGCATCCTCCTGTCTGACACCACCGCCAGAGTAATAACTTTATCCCCACAACATCACTGGCCCTTCCTGGATCAGACCTGAATATATGGATTATATTCTATTATGTCAAAGTATATTTTTTAAAATCAATTGCACATACAATTTCTCCTTGTATACTTATTAAAACAACACTATGTAGTTTTTTGACCTTAAAATAATGTTTCTAAACTCACTGAAGTGGTATAAAAATGGTTCATAGGATGAATCGTGCCGTCGCTGCAGCCTGACTGGGGTCATGCCGGCTGCAACTGCACTCTGTAACTTTTCTGATCAGGTAGGAACACAGTGCCACCGTGGTCCTGGTACACCACCGACCAGCCTCCCCTCCAGAGCTCCGGTGACACACACAAAACCCTCTTTGCTTGCCAATACTGGTACCAGTATTGGCAATGGCACCAGTGCCAGAAACGGCAGCGGCACCAGCGTGACCCCACTCAGGCTGGAGTGGCAGCATGATCCACCCTGTTAACTGTTTTTCTACCACTTCAATGAGTTTAGAAACATTTTAAGGCTGAGAAACTACATAGTGTTGCTTATGTTTATATACTTTTAATTTTTTCTCAACAAATTATGCATGTACTGACTTTTCTTTGTTTGGTTATATTTATTAACTTTTTTCCTTGCCGTGGGACTATTAGCATTTTCATTATTATCATATTTTCACCAGAAGTGAAACATTCAAATTCATATTCAAATATGTTAATGTGATTATACAGAGTATGATGTAGGTCTTTAGAATATACTCCGGATGTTTATTGATGGAACATAAACCAGGTGAAAGTCCTTGGTACTTCCCCTCCCCTCTTTTCATTATGCTTTGTGAAGAAGGAGATAAATAAATTATAGGTGTGCCCACAGCCTTCTGAGTTTTTTTCTTCTTCATCTTTTCATTTGTGTGCAAGGAATATAAAAACGGCAGCTGGTGAAATGTAATTTAATGTAACAATTATAGATTTGCATCAAAACATGGGATTATAAGGCAGTGTGAGAGGTAACACTGTTTCATAATTATGAGAATTTGCACATGATAATTGCCAATGTGGCAAAAGAAACAAAAAGACAAGTGGTTCAACTATGAACTTCAGTGTTTTTAGAGATACACTAATCTTATTTACTGTGCAGACTTTATCCTTTGAGTGATTGAAATAAATACATTGCTTTTTATTTGTTTTTTTATTTTCAGCTCAAACCTGCATGATAAAAACAAAGGAGGACACTTAAGATTCAACAATAGTAAATGACACTGGTTGAACTGTCTTTCTCTTCAATGAAGTTCATTTATTTTATCTCTTAGTATTTGTAGTTTGTTTAATCCGGGCTTTAATTTATAATTTTAAAGAAGTGAAATGAATAAACCAGTAAACAGACTGTAGAACAGCGTTCCCCAATTAGTTTTCCCCGAGGGCCAAAGTATGTGAAATCTGCCAAACCAAGGGCCAAGGTTCAGGCACCCCCCACACACAAAAAACTGTGTGAAACAGAATAAGTCCAAGGCCATAGTTATTTAAATGTTCCTATATACACAGTCATCAACAATCACATCAACAGAGGCCTAACATAAAGTTAACAATGAGAGGTCCCGGGTGTGTGGAGTTTATTTAGATATTCCCGACAGCAAAAACAACAGGAAAGGAACATAGATAACAGTGTCAACTTTTCTACATGTCCACACGAGGAGTGAACTGACTTTAATGTATAAAATAAGTGGAGTGCCCCTTTAAGAAGCAGCTCTGAAATTTACTGAAGAAGCACTAAAGCCTGTCTTTGTTTTGAGTGGAGACTCACTGCTGCAATAAATAATACTGAAGAAAATGACAGACCACAAATTCTCTCTCTCTGTCTCCCTGCCTCTCTCTCTCTCTCTCTCTCTCTCTCTCTCTCTCCCTCCCTCCCTCCCTCCCTCTCGTGTTGTGTCTCTAACACGCTCACAGTATAAGGGGCTGTGATGAAGGCAGCAGGGCTTCAAATGAATCAAAATGCCCTTTTCCCTCGGCAGCTTCAAATCCTGCACGGCCAAAACAAAAAGATCCATCACTGCTGCTGCAACAACTGGTTCTTTCAGCTTGATTACAGCTGGCCTAAAATGGCCCCCATCACCCCATCATGCCCTGGAAAATGACACGCAGCCACTGACATGGGCATTTATCTACACACACTCCGCAGCCGAACAAATGGCAAAGAGGTACAGTGGAGTCAGGACTACACATCAGCAGTTTGTGATTGTTGCGCGCATGGCAGCGGAGGGAGAACACAGCCAGCATGTTACATGTGCATTAATCGTCAAAATGCAACAGCTCCGATGAACCTTTTTAATATCCTATTTAATATCTTTTCCTGTCTTCAACTTTGAAGCAAAGCCTCACAATAGATCGAGCTCACGCTTTTTCTAATCAGAGCTTATGAGTTACTTTTCATAAAGTATTTAAGACTTTAATATGAGGCTTTCAGTCATGCTGAGACACTGAGAAGAAAAATCTGTTTTATTTTGTGCTTAATGGAATCAACTGGGTAGTCGTCGCCACAACTGCCATATTACTTTGACATCAGTGCTGGCAGAGCTTTGAGGCTTTGTTCATCACCCCCACCCCCAGCTGAGAACTCTGTCAACCCTGTAAGCACAGGATAGAACTGTCTAATTAAGAGCTGTGGCGTGTGACAAGGAGCACGGCCTGTGTGTATTTGTGGTTGGATGTGGTGTGGATATTTAAAGAAATCGATCTGGTCTGGTCTCGCTCTGGACTTGTGTCTTATCAACAGCTGGATGGATTGTACAGACATTTAAGGTCCCTAAGTGTGGTTTGGTCAAGATTTGAGTTCATTACCAAACGTTTATAATGTTCTGTGTGATAATTAGGTTTTTTTTTCCACATCCTGTGATCCTGCTAATTGTGATCCAGAATAAACTATTCTACAAACTGTTCTCTGATCCTCATTATCAACAAGCTGATGGCATCATTCAGTGGAGTCAATCATACATTGTGTCGTCTCAAGCAAAATCTCCCCTGTCCTCATAGCAGATAGCAAAGATGAGAAAAATGTATTTAATGTGTCCAGTGGTATGGCTTCCTGCAGGCCTCAGGCTCTTTAATGTCCCCTCTTCAGTTGGGTCCCCTCCCTGCTGATGGTGGACACTGGCCTCCAGCAGGTCCTCAGACACCTCCATATTCACACATACACACACTCTCTCTCTCTCATACACACACACTCATCTGCAGGAGAAAATGGGCTGGCACATTAACTTACGGCGGGGACTCTAAAGTTTCTATATGTGGATATGTGGAGCGGTGGAGAGATGAAATGACTTCATATATTAGTGTCAGTCCGTGGGTGTTTTTCTCCTCTTTTCCCATAAACACAGAGGCCCAGAGTAAAGACGTCTCTACTTCAATTCATCGCCCAATGAAATAATGCTGCTCTAATGCAAAATCTGACAAACCTTTCTTCTATATATCATTTTTTGTGAAACTAAATAGCTAAAGCAAATATGCAACTGTGACCACATTACGTTTGTGTTGTTAATTTCCATGATGTTGATACTAAACATGGCCATCATATTTGTTTTCCTCTAAAATGCCCAGTCTTGCAGTACAATGGCTACTTAAGCCTCTTTTCCTCTGGTCAAAAAACCTGTTAAACATTAATAACATTATAACTAAAGCTTTTTTCAGTAATGTTAAAGGGTTCATTCAAACCTGGGTCAAATGAATCTGTGGTGGACACAGGTATTCATCAGCTTGTGTCAGACAATGTGAACAGACCTGTCACCTGAACAACACAGCGCTGTTAAACAAAAAACACCACAGCTGCACTGTGCACGGGGATGAATGAGTTGAGTGCGGGTACAATAACTTTTAAAAACATGCCATCACAGATCAAAGCATCTCAAATGAAGGCATCTGACACAAATCTGTTTTACCAGTCTGCATGGTGGCTGGCAACTCTATTTCTCCCGAGTCTGTGTGTGCGCTCTGTAGGTACGCAAGGATGTCACTCTTTGGAGTCCTCAATCCTCTGGCCAATCGGTTTTTGTTTGCAGGTTCAGACCTGGTAACAAACAAAAGTGAATTATAGGACCTTAGGATCCTGATGTGACAATACCTCAGTGTGTATCAGGTAAGGGCTATATTTCCATCCCAGCTCTTTGAAAGCGTAATACTCTCTGAAGATTAGCACAGAAGCTTTACTGTGATGGCTAGGAATCAAACCTGGGTCAACTACTTGGAAGGCTGCTATATTCACCACTACACCTCCTTCTGCGCAGTAAGCCATGCTGCACAATATGGACAATGTTGAGTATGACTTCAAGTTGGGTGAACACAGACTGTATGATGATAAAAGAGAAAGAATGAGGAATTGGTTTGAAGTGATGCTCACCAACACGGTACCAACGCAGCACAAACGCAGGAACGTGGCAGCTGATTCAACAGTTTTTCTAAGTGGTCAAAGCTTTAGTGTATTGAAGGTACTACTGCACATTCCGGATCATATATTGATGCTCCTATACCATTAAAGTATTGATGTTAGAAAGACAACTGCCTCGTTGTTGACAGGATTCGAACCTGTGCGGGGAGACCCCAATGGATTTCAAGTCCATCGCCTTTACCACTCGGCCACAACAACTCATGTGTTGCGTCAGGATTGCACTGAGAAATAATGAATGAAAAGGTTCTCATGACGCAAGAAACAAAAAGCTGCTGCTTTTTACAGAGATTCCTCATGCGATGGAGCCAGTTGTGTATCAGGTAGAAAGGGTCATCAAATATTTCCATATGGTCTAACAGAGGCACAGATTTCTGAAAGGAAATCCAAGAATTCAACAGTAAAGGAGCTGTGATGGCCACGAGTCAAACCCAGGTCAACTGCTTGGGAGGCAGCTACCGTATGCTCACCACTATACCACCATCGCACAACGAGCAATTGACCATTTTTCCCTGGTGAGTGAGCTGGGAGAGGAACAGAGTAAAAAATACAGCAGAGAGGAGTTGCTGAACATAACTATTACTTTTGCAAAAGCTGTGCAGGTCTAACTCAGTATTCAGTTATAGAGGCAATGCTGTACAAGGATAGCATATATTGGTCTGTCTTCAACTGTTTCTTAATGACGTTGGAACAGGGAATGAATCTGAGCTCCATATGGATGCCCAAAGAGAAACAATTTTACATCACTTGGACAGTATGAAAGGACCTTAACAGTCTTTGTCAGGGCTTGAATCTCTTGAACATAGTAAGGACACGACCATTGACGGCATTCAACAGCACAAGGAAATTGCCGTCTGTTGTTGGCAGGATTAAACTTGCATTGGCAGATGTCAATGGTTTTCTAGGTCATCGCCTGAACCACTCAACAACATCGGTGCATCTACATGAATAGGTCAACACACGCATGTTTTCATCATATGGAGATGTCTAAATCCAATAAAATCCAACAGCATGACACTAAGGAACAGCAGCAATAGCTGAGATAGTTGGTCTGCTAAGAAGATTACCACTACTGTCTTTAAATCAAAGTTTTCATGGACCCTTTTTCATGAGTCTGCTTCACTGAGAGGGGAGAAAACCTGATGTGAAGTAATGAAGGAAGTGAGAAAATACTCATGCAAAGAACTTGGAATCCTTTGTTACTGGATAGTCATTGGAGATGCCGGGGATTGAACCCGGGGCCTCATACATGCGAAGCATGCGCTCTACCACTGAGCTACATCCCCTGTTCCCCTTCACTCTCCAATCAATTCCAAATCGGGCAGCTTCAGAAATATCTGCAACAGATAATGAAAGTAAGCAGCCTGGGAGGCATCCACCATCCAGACGTTGAGTACTACAGCTCACAAACATGGCAGCTAACCAACCATAACCGGGCTCACAAGGAAAAGGCATGGATGGATTGTGGTGGCTTTGGATGAAATAGGTGAGTGAATGGGCTAATGATAACAAAGCAGCAGACTTTAGCATCAACTGTGAGGTGTGGCAGCAACAAAAAACATACATTTGTATTAGCAGTTCTGGATATCCATCCACCCATTATGCTTGCTGATTGTTTGCTTACACACCCAACAACACACTTGCTCTCCCTCAGTTCTGGACTGAAGACTTCACTGTTGCAGTGATGTCAGTCTTTCTGGCTCAAGTCAGTAGAAATAATTTATTTCCCACAGTCTCTCACCTGTATTCATTCTTATTCAGACCAGAGTGTTCAAAGTGCTTAAAGTCTCATAATGCCTTTTTGTCCTCTTTATCCTCTTTGACAACCAACCAAAGAGGTGCCGTGCTATTGAAAATTGTACTCTAATTGTAGTGCTGGTGCATGTTAGATTTTACCCCCAAAAGATGGATAACAGAAGACAATCACCTGCAAAGCATTTGAACTGTCGTTCATGTGTTAAAGGCAGTATGGGCTGCATGGATGAGAGGCGGTGAAGGCTCTGCGTAAAGAGGAAAGTGTGCTGCCTGCCAATGAGAAAAGTTGGGCTCGGGCAAACTTAGCCGGCAGCCACCAGTCAATGCTGACAGGCAGCACGGAGAGAATGGGAGAAGAATAAGTGCTCCCCATCATGTTCCTTTCAGAAGAACAAAGACTCACGCTCATCGTGAGTCTGCCTCAAGCTCAAAAACGTCTACTCACTTGAACACTCGGAGCCTAAAACATACATCATTCCTGGCATCACAAAAACAACAGGGGTGGAAAAGGAGTGAGGAGGAAGAAAATAGAATCTGAATTTCATTTCAATACGCTCTATTAAGATTTGACAGGCATTGTGCCGATGTGCAAGACTCTGTTTTCTAAATCAGAGAGCCATTGTCTGAGAAGATAAGATTTCTTTGCCTGCGGTTGAATAGTCTTTAAAACTGATTGGCAGTGATTAGCCAAAAAGTGACACTATGAGAATATGAGGGGCTTGACAGCAGTGAGAACTTCTATTGATAAGACATGACACCTTTATTTGAGGATGGATCAATTCATTTCAATTCAGGAAATGTCCCAACTATATTCAGAGAAAATTATATACAACGTGAGGAAAGTGAAGCTTTGTGTCCTTGGAAAAGTGCTACACATGAGCCAGAAACCACTGGAAACTGGCAGGATGTTGCACTTCCAAAATCAAACCACTTCAGTACAATTTATCAAGGTTAACTGACACTTCTGAACCCACGATATGGCTCGTGGGAGGAAGTAAAACTGTTTAGTGTGTCGGTACACCGAGACGATACAGTATATGATCTATGATGTGGGGAGAACCTTTACCTGAAAAACGGGGGCAAGCCAGTGTGGTGTTATGTATCTCCATTATAAATGTAGTGTTAGAGGGAAAAGTTTCAGGGGCTCAGCTGCGTTCATAATTTATGAGTGAAATATCACTCTGCTTGAAATGCAGACAAAAGCAGAGGATAAATAATCATATTAGGAGGAGCTGCGGTGCTTGAAATTATGCACAAGCTACTCCATATTCGCCCAATAAAACTGACATGAAGACCTGTAATTCTTGATGAAAATACAGAGTGCACAAAAGTGAAGTCGGCACAGAGCACAGGTCTGGAAACAGTGACAGCAGCTGGTGAGTGTGATATGAGATTTTTATCTGAGTTTAAATGGAATAAGTCATATTTGAATATTCCACTGGATATCTGATATTAATTTTACATTGACAGGAAGCAAAGGTCCTGTCTCCCTTTCATTTTGTCAGTCTGCATCTGAAGCATTTCATCAATCACAGGCGCTGCTCTATAGGACCTGCCACAGTGTATTCTGGGTCTGAGCCATAACCAACAGTGCAATTCATTGATGTGGACGAGCAAAATGAAACCTGTCCCAGCAGCAATATCTCTTTTAAATTACAGAACAAAACACATCTAAAGGGAAACTCGTCTCGGTGATGTAAATAAAGCATGGTCGAAGGTGAGGTGCATAAACCCAGTATGATAATCCAAATGACGGTGCCTTAGAAAATCAATCCCTAACTTTACCCTTCTCTTTTAGAACTTAATACTCGAATCAAGTCACTCTCTAATCAAGTAACACTTATTATACAACAATGAGCTTTAGGAAAATTATGGAAATTTTTCCATATCACATCTGACTGGATGTGGTAATACTCTGTGCCTTCTTATTTTAAATATTTTTCTTCATCCTCTTTTTCCTCTCTCCTTTTTGTCTTAAGAATTTATCTCGTAACATTTTCACTGTTTTTATATTTGCCTTTTGCGTTTATGCCATTTACATTCAGGTTTTATGTGCTGCTGTCTTAAATGAATTACTATATTTCCTCTGCTTAATGAAAAATGTAATTAAACTAGACCTAGAGAGCTAAGGTTAGTGAGAATAAAATTACACACACCATCCTGCTTTGGCTGTGAACATCTGACTGTGTCTCATGGAAAATATGTTCACAATCTGGCCATTCACTTCCCTAAATGCATTTCTCAAGGAAACCTAATTGCTTCCTGAATTATGTATGTGACTAAACCAAAGGGGGGTAAGTTAGAGGAAAGATTGTTTAGATTTAGCTTTAAAGTTATAATATGTAACTTTTCCACAATAAAATATATAAAAAAGAAGGCCTGTGTTCTAAACATTGAGTTTTGTTTTTTTTTATTTTCACACTTTCCATCAATTCTCAAATCAAATCGGTAACTTCGATTTTGGTGACAGTATGTGTCCATGGTTAAAGTCAATGATGTCATGTTCCTATGTGCATGCGTCACCATTGTAGTTTGTCTGCCAGACGCTCAAAATGGATTTTATCCAATCTTAAGCCATACTGGTTGCCACTTGGTTGTTTTCTGCCATGTATTACAAACACACAGCTCAGCTCCTAGTCCCTCAGAGACGTCTTGTTTAGCTGGACTTTATAAGTCATTCACAGATTTTAAAAATGAAACTGTTTCTTCTGACCACTAGGTTTGTTGTGGAGAGGTGTCCTCCGTGGCTAATTCAGCTGCTGTTCAAACCCTCCTGAACCACTGATGCTGATGGAATCCAAACTAGGAGAAGCTGACGGTAATGTCTGTGAATGTCTCATGTTCCCATGCGACTTCATTAAGTTGCTCAACATCATCTTTTGATATTGTTTTGATTGTGCCTTTAATATTGAAAAATCATTGTCTATCTCAAGCAAGCTTGGATGTTTGACTTTTCTGACATGCAAAAGTGTGAGTTGTCTAAACAGAAGAAAACAAATATGAAATATTAATGCTGCCATCAAGGGAAACTGAGGGAAAACAAAGTATAATCATGTACTGACGACCCGACTGCATGTGACAATTCATTACAATAATTAACACGCTGAATGTGACATAGACGTCTATTGTCAACATAACAAAGATTCAAATTAAACCTTGACCTGTTAAACTTGGTTTCTATGGTTACCTGTAGTTTTAAGGGTCAGATTGTCCCTTCAAATTTATTGCTAATGGTATTTATCCATTTAGTTGTACATAACAATACTGGATGCATAACAAATGGACAAACTTTAAACTGGCTGAGCTGGGCTAAGTCTGAAGTGTCCAATTTCTCACGCTACCAAAGCTGATTCGCACTGTTAGAAATAGAATTCCCGGTCTCCTGTCAATAGCTACCACAGCCCTCATTCAATACCCAGTGTCTTGGGCAAAGCCTGCCTGCACAATAATTACTTAACTGTCAGCTAGGATTAGATGGTCTTAAGCCACCTTGAGCCAATCTAGAATCCACAGAAAAAAGCCCGGGAGATCCACTGTGACATCTCAGCACTGGGCCACTGTCTGGAAAAAGAGAGCGGAGAGAGGAAGGAAGAAATCATCAAACATGATAAATACAACTCTCTACTCCAAATCCCCATCTCCATAGGATCATAACAAGGTTTTCTGTGAATCCAGAGGTGGGGCCAAGTGCTTTAAAAATGCACTTCTCTATAGGTTGAGGATTAACATATA